ACACAATGTATACACAACATGCAAAGAAGGAGTAAGATGAATGAGAGATAGAAAGAAAGAGAAAGATAGAGATAGCTAGCTAGCTAGAGAGAGAGAGAGAGAGAGAGAGAGAGAGAGAGAGAGAGAGAGAGAGAGAGAGAGAGAGAGAGAGAGAGAGAGAGAGAGAAGAGAGAGAGAGAGAGGCAGACAGACAGACAGACAGACAAACAGATAGATAGATAGATAGATAGAGAGAGAGAGAGAGAGAGAGAGATAAAGATAGATAGATAAAGAGCAAAACGAAAAACGTTTCCTTTTAAAGGCTGATCACACTTGCTTTGACGGCAAGAGATTAAATGCATGACGCAGGGAGGTGGAATGAGGGGAGGGAGGGGAGGGGGAGAGGGGAGGGGGAAGGAGGGTGGTGCCCTTTGCATGAGTCAAGTAAACTTTTTTTTATAATTTAATCACTCTTTTAAAACGTGATAACATCAATAATGAAGATAATAAAAAATATATAATAATTTACAGTGACGATGATAATATCAAGGTGGTACGAAAGAAGATAATGATGATTATGATAGTGATGATAACAAGAATGGCGATAAAATGGCAGTGGGACGGTAATAATGATGAAAATGAAAATTTGATATAACAGAAGACAATGTCATCGTCTGATGGGATAATACTCATATCATTATCACCACCACCACAACCACCACTACTACTACTGTTACGACTACAACTACGACTACTATTTGTACTACTACTGTTACAACAACTACTGCTACTTCTTCTTAAAATGGTACTAGGTGTACTAATAATGTTAATCCCGATAATAACGACAACAACACTAATACTAATATTAATGATAATTAAAATACTAATGTTAACAATAATAATGATTATGATAATAATAGTAGTAATGATAATGTTAATAATGATAATAATGATAATAATAATAATGAAAATAACAATAATGTCAATGCTGATAATAACACCACCACCTCCAGCAACAATAACAATAATGATAATGATGATGATTATAATGATAAAGAGGATAATAATTATGATATTAATGATAATAACAGGGAAAATGATAGTAATCATAACAATGATAATGGTAATGATAATGATAAGGATAATAAGCATAATGATAATAGCAATTAATAATATTAAAAGTAATTATAATGATAACGATGAAAATATTAACAATAACAACAACAACAAAATGCAAATAGTAATGATAGTATAATAATGATCATAACAATCACAGCAATAATAATAAAGATAATGATTATGAAGATTATCACAACAAGTATAACGATGATCATGATAATGATGATGATAACAATGACATTGATGTTAATGGTAAAACAATAAGTATAACAATGATCATGATAATGATGATGATAATAATGACATTGATGTTAATGGTAATGATAATCGTAATAACAATGATAACGATAATGATAATTATAATGATAATAATAGTAATAATAATGATAATGATGATGATGATGATGATGATGATGATGATGATGATGATATTAGTAATGATAACAGAAATGATGTTGGTGATGATAATGATAATAACAACAACAATGATAGCAACTATAATAACAATTATAAGATTAATGATAATAATGGTAGTGATAATGATAATGAGGATGATAACAATATTAGTACTACTACTAGTAGTAACAATATAATTATAACAAATGGAAACAGTAATGATACTTTTGATGATAAAGGCATTGATAGTAATAACGATAATGAAAATGATGATGATTGTAATAAAAAAATGATGATGATAATGATATTAACAATAATGATAATAGTGAGAATGATGATAATATTTATAATGGTGACAATAATAATAATGATAATAAGGAAGAGAGAGAGAGAGAGAGAGAGAGAGAGAGAGAGAGAGAGAGAGAGAGAGAGAGAGAGAGAGAGAGAGAGAGAGAGAGAGAGAGTGAGAGCGAGAGAGAGAGAGAGAGGAGAATGACAGAGAGATAGAAGAAGAGTAAGCAGATTTTTTCCCAAAAAAACGAGGACTAAGAAAGATAGATAAACTGTTCATTGTTTTTATCTCACGTCTTCTCCTCCCGCCCAGCCTCCGCCATCAAGCCATGCCCATTATCACATTAACCCACGGTCTAGCGGCTCCCTCGGTGTGCTCTTCAACCCATTCTGTTTCTCAAGATGCCGTTTGGTCATTCCATTTACCTCATAGAATTATTATACGAAAAAAGAGTGAGGTAGGAGTGTGGCATCTGCAGGTCGGGTGGTGGTATTTGGCACAGGGATGTTGACTTTAATTGTTGTTGGTCCCGTATTTGGTGAATGGCAGTTTGTCCCTGGATACTTGACAGCGGAGAGGGCGAGCGATAAAATCATCCTTTTCTAATTGGCACAGTCGGGAAAAAATGCATATCCATGGTACATGCATTTCTAACGACTTTGGTATATTCCACGAATTCGAAAAAAAAAAAAAAAACGTGAACACAAAACTGCAAAAAGAAAGGATAGCACAGGTCTTCCTCAGTCCTTTAGAAACAAAGCATCTGGTGTTTGCAACATTAACACATATTAACAAGATGGACAGGTTGCAGGAGACACTCCTATTCTTACGTCAGTACAATCCTTAAATGAGAAAACCAAACTCATATGATTTATCAGCCGCTTCCCCGACCTGTTCAACGTGGGTTATCGAAGTGCATCGAATTTTAATCAGGTCTAACTTATAGCAGTGATTCTTTTCTTATTTATTGACTCATTCTTATTATCCAGATTATTTGTTCCAGATGTCGTTCCCGTCATTTGTCGTTTTCTGATTGCCCTGTTTACCTGCCTGTTCATTTACTCTTTCATTTTTTGATGCAGAGGCACCATAGGCTTGAGATATGATTTTGATGAAAGACAAATCAGTGATGATAATGAATATGGTGATGATCATCGTCATGCTTTTGGTGATAATAGTGATAATGACAAGCATGATAAGGATAAGAATGATGAAAACGAAAAAATCAGGATTAATAATGATAATAATAATGATAATACTAATGATAATAATAATAATAATAATAATAAAGATAATAATAATGATAATGATAATAATAATTATGATATTAATATTGATAATGATAATAATACTAATAATGATATTAGTGATGATAATAATGATAATGATAATAATAATAACAACAACAACAATAATAATAATAATAATAATAATAATAATAATAATAATAATAATAATAATAATAATAATAATAATAATAATAATAATAATAATAATAATATAATAATAATAATATAATAATGGTAATAAATATGACCAAGAATAAGAATGAAAAAAAACGCTAATAAGGATAATAATGATCATGATAATAATGGCGATCATAATGATAATGGTAAGAATAAGAATAAGAATGGAAGAAAAAGGCTAATACTGATAATAGTGATATTGATGTTGATGTCAGTAACCTTGACAATGAATCTGCAGATTAAAAAAGAAAATGATAATGAAATTGGACCCAACATTATGATTGATTATCATAAGATCTAGATAAGCCAAAATAAAGTGTATTTGTGTAACGGAGAGGTAGATAGATAGATAGATAGATAGATAGAGAGTGAGAGATAGAGAGAGAGAGAGAGAGAGAGAGAGAGAGAGAGAGAGAGAGAGAGAGAGAGAGAGAGAGAGAGAGAGAGAGAGAGAGAGAGAGAGAGAGAGAGAGAGAGAGAGAGAGAGAGAGAGAGAGAGAGAGAGAGAGAGAGAGAGAAGAAGAGAGAGAGAGAGAGAGAGAGAGAGAGAGAGAGAGAGAGAGAGAGAGAGAGAGAGAGAGAGAGAGAGAGAGAGAGAGAGAGAGAGAGAGAGAGAGAGAGAGCGTTCATGGTGATTT